GAGAGAGAGAGAGAGAGAGAGAGAGAGACAGACAGACAGACAGGCTGACAGACAGACAGACAGACAAACAGAGTGAGATTGTTAGAGAAAGAGAATGGGAGAGAGAGAAAGAGAGAGAGAGAAAGAGAGAGAGAAAGAAAGAGAGAGAGAGAGAGAGAGAGAGAGAGAGAGAGAGAGAGAGAGATACAAAGAAACACAACCTCAGTGCACAAACTGCGTTGAAAATTTCAAAATTGTTGAAAAAGCGAGACGAAATTTTGGACACGTTCCAGGTTCCATAACGATCCTAATCATAACCTCATTTTTGGTAATCACCCACTGTCCTTTTATCCGTTTGAGCTCAGACGTTTTCTTGGGTGTTCCTTTTATTTTTCTTCTAATCCGCATCCGCAAAGCCAATTAATTTTACAAGTTTTTTTCAGAAATATGAATTATAGTCCATCCTATTTTCAAATTTAGTTCACGTGATTAGAAATAAACTAAATCAATATTGAGATAAATGGTCTTGGGTCACCTACGTGGTTTTCTTCATCTGTTGAGAAAAAAGGATAAAGTAAAACTTTCGAAACTGCTTTACTTCGTGGAATCGAATGCTGCAATCTGAGTGCGGTTGTCCTGTTCAGGTTATGAGCCATGAAATCTAGAAGCTGCTCGCTTCTGCAATCCCCTGTGGTATTTGCGTTATTTTTTTAACGATCCGGTCAATTATTCTCTTTTATGATCAATATTTATTTTTAGCTCAAGAAGAACTGTGTACAATCCTTTGCTTCGGCTTAATGCGCATGAAAATAACACCGGGAAGAATAATTATGATTATGTTTGGGAGTCTTTGGACATCGCACTTGTACGCACTTTTGTAAATTTCTCAGCGTCTGTGGGGTGTAGCTGTTACAGTTAATCGCTTCGTCATCGGATTTAATTTCTGAGTGGAGAGCATTATTACCGAGTACATGTATCCCGGTATTTCAGCTAGGATGTTGAATCCCTTTCAGCCCAGGCAGGAACTGACAATACGGGCCAAAGCCCACGTCTGAAATAATCAGAATTGTGTCTATGGGGGCTTTAAAACATCTTCATTGAAATATTTAAATGGTATATCATAATGGACAAGACTAATCCTGCTAAAAAAGATAAAATGTAGAAAAATACTATACTAAGGCTACTTAAACGACACGACGACAATGTGAAAGAGGTGCTAGAAGGTAAGATGAGGGACAGGATATCCAGGAGGCAAAGAATAACATAGATGGACAGCATAAGAACATGGATTGGCCTGGATATGGCAAAATGTTCAACTTCAGCTCGCAACCGTGAAGGGTGTCAGAGATGACACTTCCAGGTATTCTGGTATCATAATGACGATCTCCAACAGTTAATAAATGTTAAGGTATTACGTTGTGTTACGATTTGTGTTTTTCATAGACGTGCTCAAAGATAGATCACAAACTGTCATGGATGCCGCTGGTCACTCTTTACAACATCTCGCCTGCAAAATCTCCACACTATGAGCTGCACCGGTACCAATGAATGAAGGGCAAATACTAGTTTTCCTACAGTCAAGTCAGTGCGGGACATTCCCCACCCTCCTTGCTCTTTATCTCGCTCAAGAATAGTGAAATGGCAATTCCCATGGGGTGTCTGAAATACTCCAAAGAGCATGGTCTGGAATAGATAAGTCGATGAGTTTACCCCGGTAACCCAGCAAGGGGTGCACGTTGCCATACCAGAAGGGCTAGAACACTAAGATACGGACAAGATGTACTGTACAACAACCGGCACTAGAATCTGGGGGTGTATAGCGGCTATGTTTATCGCGGTCACACGCAGAAGATGCAAGTTCGATTCCAGAGTGAGGAGGTTGTTTTGTTTTTCTTTCTTTTCAAATCGAGAATCTCAGTCTGTCCCTCTAGAGCTCTTTAAAAAAAAATTAAGTTTTCTTAAGAGTTTTGCGGTACTTGCAACACAATAAGGTCATGTAAGTGCCGATTCTAGATCTCTCCCAATTCAGTTAATCCTGGGAGGCAGGGTGGAAGCAGACCCTACCCTGCTTTATATTGCACACTACAGAGTCGTGGTTGGTCGTTCAACACAGGAGAAAATATTGCTGAGTGGTAGGAAGGAAAACATTGATCAGCAAACAACAAAAAACGTTATGTACTGTTCTGACCTGATTGAATGATAATTGACTTATTGTGTTCCCAGTGACGTAGACCGTTCTCATAATTAGCTGGCTGTCAGTCACAGCAATCCCCGTAAGCTGAACAAGAAACAGTTTTAAAAAGAACCCGTTAAAAAAGCAAAACAAAACAACACTCAAAGAAAAGTAACATAAAATCTCACATACCTTGAAAGGTTCCCAAACAGCTGAGTATGAAAAAGATGAGAGCCACGTCCATTCTAAGGTGTCCGTGGTGAGCTATGTCCTGAACGTGCAGTGTGATGAATGGGCAGTAGAAAAGTCTGCTTGCTGAGACAATGTTGACGGTATAGCGGGCTGGTGTCTTACTCTTCGGTCATATTTCTTCTATCTCTCTCTCTATCTCTCTCTCTCTCTCCCTCTCTCTCCGTCTCTCTATCTCTCATTCATCCATCATGGCAGACTGGTTCATCTGCCTATCCTTACCTGAAAGTAATGGGTAAATAAATTGTTTTAATAACAATAATAGTGATAACAATAATAATAGTAATTATAATAAGAATACTACTACTACTACTACTACTACTACTACTACTACTACTACTACTACTACTACTACTACTACTACTACTACTACTACTACTACTACTACTACTACTACTACTACTACTACTACTACTACTACTACTACTACAAAAAAATATATTATAATAATAATACCGATAATAAAGATAGCCCTGATAATGATAATAATAATAATAATAATAATAATAATAATAATAATATAATAATAATAATAATAATAATAATAATATAATATCGATTATAATGATAGCACTGAAAATAATAATAAAAATAATTCATCGTCATCATCATCATCATCATCATCATCATCATCATCATCATCATCATCATCATCATCATCATCATCATCATCATCATCAAACAGAACTGGTTACAACAAAAGACACCATGAAATCACATCACCCTGTTTATAACCAGTACATATTACGTAGAACAGTGTTGATAACACCTAGGCGTTATACAAACACCTGAGTTTCTAGACATTATGAGACTAAATTCGTATACGTTGTGAATAGGTGTGTGAAAAATATACTTGATTTGAATTGATTGAAACTCCATGTTCTAGCTGTTATTCCTCTACGGCCTACCTGTACCTCCAAATGTCTTCAATATCTTCAAAAATATAATGATATTAGTAAATGTTGTACGCCTCAATGGACGCAACTCAGGTCATTTAGGAGGCTGGCTGCTTCACTCCTTCTGTCAGGACAGCTGTGGCCGAGAGGATACACAGGCTCTTGTGCCCAAGAGGTTAAGGAGTTGGCCTCTTATTCTAAGGTCCCGGGTTCGTATCCGAGTAGCGACCGAACAATTTTCTTCTCTATAAATTGTCTCCTTTTACCTCCTTTCCTGCTCTCTGGCAATGTTCTGTCGTCTGCTTTCGTCTCCTCTTTCTGCTCCCACCCCCTTCTTTTCCCCCTCCTCTGGGCTTCTGACTCTTTCTGCAGCCTTTCTACTGCTACTACATGGCTACTACATCCTTCTTACTGCTGTCTTTCTGCCACACCCCCTTGGTCTTCTGGTAGGAAAGATATACACTTAACCCTCTCAGAGAAGGGCGAAAAAGTTGCGCACGTTAAAGATCACTTGGTGGTCTAAAATCGATAAGAGTAGGCTTCGGCGGCCTCCCGGGCAAAATTCAAAATTTCCTACCAACTGAAAAAGTGTAATGGCTACTATATCCTTCTTACTGCTGTCTTTCTGCCACACCCCCTTGGTCTTCTGGTAGGAAAGATCTACACTTAACCCTCTCAGAGAAGGGCGAAAAAGTTGCGCACGTTAAAGATCACTTGGTGGTCTAAAATCGATAAGAGTAGGCTTCGGCGGCCTCCCGGGCAAAATTCAAAATTTCCTACCAACTGAAAAAGTGTAATGTGTCCCGCGCGCTCATATGACCTTATGCAGTTGTGAGCGCCGTAAAACACTTACCAAAAAAAGAGGATACACACCATGTCACAGCAGGTAGGCAGAGCTGGGCTGCACGCAAACTAGGGATATCATGTTTACTTGTCGCACTGTTGCGAGTCTGCATGTTGGGCAGTTTTCACCCCTTCGTCTGTCTTCACCGCCAAGTTATGTCATACATTGCAGCTGCCGAACGAGTGGGCTTAACTTGAAAAAAGTACAACAAAAAACAATAACAAAAAAACAACAGCAACAAAAACAACAACAACAACAGCAAACAACAACAAAATAACCCCCCCCCCCTTTACACGGGAATCAAACTCCTGTCTTCTGTGAGCGAGGGCGAAAAACCTAACCTTTACAGTCCAGGCGCCAATCATGACTTGTTAGTGATAGAACACATTTGTACGACTTCAACAGTACGTTTATACTGGATTAGATCAATATTCTAAAATACATGTAACATAAGACCCCCAGTGAGTGATCGGATGACAACCGTACTTGCTGTAGTTGAAGAAATAAATCGTCATGTTGAATCCACCATCCTGTTAACGAAAACCATCTTTACATGGGTTAGCTGAGCGGGGGTTTCGGTAAAGGTAAAATTCGACATACTCATTCATAGAAGAAGTTAAAAGCATGTTTCGCTCATCCCCTCAGACGGCCCGATTGTGTCCCCACAGAAGTTGGAGACCACTGACGTGCATTGCACGTCAAACAAGTTCCAAATGATCGACCCAGATTGACTTTTTATCGTTTTTCTGAATACCAGGAGTGGTCGGTTGGTGCAAGATGGTCGATGCACTATTAAAAAGGTATTTAAAAAAATTATATCTACCCTAATGATTCTAATTTCAAATAGCAGTGCTTCAATGGAGATGTCATACAGCAGTAATGTTAACCGTAAATAAACATCATAAGAGATGACTCAAGTAGAGTACGTTGGAAAAGACACGTATCGTTAGTTAAGGGTAAAGTAATAATGTTCATGGTTTTCTATTAAGGATTATGTTCCACCTTCTCCTGGGTCCGAGGAAACTAAACATGGCCTACGCAGTTTTTTCTTGACTTTGAAAATGGTTAAATGGTATAGTTTTAACGACCCTATCAACATTATTAAGTTATTAAGAGGCAGGACCTCCAAGTTTAACGTCCATCTCCGGAAGGAACGAGCCAAGTGGGAAATTCGTGTTAAGTGCCTTTCCCAAGGACACAACGTCGGACTGAGCTGACGCTCGAACTGCCGAACTCGCAATCTCACGATTACTGCTCCGGTAGTCTAACCACAAGGCTACCGACGTCACTTTCAAGACTTTGTCAACGAAGTACTTTTAATAACTATTCCCCAGCGTCTTCGGTGTAGCAATGAAGCCTCTCACCGTCGCACGCTAAAGCCCAACGTTTAATTCCGGTGTGGGAAGAGTTTTTTAGAGAGTATCTCGATCTTTCTGGTGCGATTTTGTATCCCCCTCAACTCAAAACTTGCCTGTCTTGTAATCTAAGTGGTGTCTGTGGGGATTTTAAATACTTGCAATAAAGAAACAAACAGAAAAAGAAACTATCTTAATTAAACAGAAGAACCCATTCTATAGGCGCAGAGCATAATAATAATGTATGCAGTTCCCACCTCACAGGAGGAGCTACCCTTGAGGACCATTGTCTATGTTTGCTGCCCAAGATCAAATCTAAGTACACATATACGTTAGGCATATTAAAATCTCTTGATACCCAATTTTAATTTGGCATAGCTACAGCGGCTGCTATGGAAACAGCCACCATCTTGAAAATAAACAATGAATTTCAAATCCCTAAGGCATTCTTATTTACTAACCAAATTTGACCAACCAAATTTGGAAAGAGTATACCTGAATCAGACCCTATCAGAGTAACAGCAAGAATTTTTCAACAAGTGCTAAGGGGACAAAATGAGAATGTTCCCGAAAAACAAAATACTTTTTTCTAAATTTAGGGTGCAGAATAGCTTGCCAATGGAAAAATGTTATTGTTTTTGCAAATACCTTTATGTTATATCGATGGCAGCCTTGCCACCTATGTTTCCTGAAAGTTTCATGTCAAAAGGAAGAAAACTAAGGAAGGAGTAGGGAAAAAAACGACACAAATATTACAATTTGCGAAAAACGACAATTATTGTAAAAATTCAATATATTAACCCATCCTCAGGTTTTTAAGGGCAATTTACGACGAGATTAAAGACTTTCTTAATTGTATCCGTGCTATTTTAGACTAAAAACTGGTTGATCTTCAAAATTCAGCCAACATAAAATTTGCATAGCCTAACCCAAAATCTGCAAAATCAAAGGCCGCTCCTCCCTAGACAGTGTGAAAAACGTGTTTGCCCATAAACTCCAAACAGCGCGTACAATGAACTCTCCACAAATTTAAGTTAGAACAATGTCATGGAAAAATAACAACAGGGCAAGACATAGGTCATGTGACTTCCTTCCAGGCTGCGCCACGTCCTCCTGGAGTTGATGACATCATAGGAAACTAACTTCCCAATCAAAATAACATCTGGGTGTACGTGGGAAGGGATGCGTCATCAGGCAAAGTTTATCACACTTCTGTGGCTCACTGAGTTCGAAGCTTGAAAAACAAGTTGCGATATTGCAATACTCTTCCAGCTAAAATGTGTTCCCTTTCCCTCTTTGCACAAGATCGATATTATTTTCAAAATCTCTAAACTCTAAAGAATACATTATGTGCTTTTCCCCTGCTATGCACTCTTGCTATTGCAATGGTAAGATCTTGTGAGGAAACAAACAAAAATACTTTCACAAATGATGTCGAGGAGACCTCAATGGGTATCCGTGCCATGTTTCCCGAAGTCGGCCCTCCAAATATTACAGATCCTCAAAATTACCAAACAGTCACAATCAATCCAATCGTAGGCAACACACAAAAGAATGATAAAAGTTAGTATTTCTTTTGACCAAAAAGGCAAGCTCCACAGATACTGGTGGAGGCTTTTTCACCCTTTTTAGTTGGTGGCCTGGTGGTTAGGCTCTCGGACTCGCAACCGTAAGGTCGTGGGTTCCAATCCCGTCAGGGGCCCGACGTTGTGTCCTTTGGAAAGGCACTTAACACGGATTTTCCTCATTTCACCCAGGTGGGAATGGGTACCCGGCTATAGACAGCGAAAGATCTTGTCAGTTTGTTAGTGTTTGAGCGCTTAATCAGCTGCTTGCACTGTATGCTTCCCGGGAAGCTGAGAATGTTTCGGAATCTTCTATGGTCTGCTGGGGTAATAATATAGTGTAAAGCGCATAGAGCCTGCTGTTGAGCGGGGATATCCGCTATACAAATGCTATTTATTATTATTAGTTTGGTAGAAAATACGTATATTTCTCATAGAGGA